CGTTTACCACACCTGAAGACCCACTGTCTATTCTAAACACAGTGAGCCAGAACAGCACCAATCACAAGTGTCAGTTTGTGAGTTGAATACTAAAGACTGTCACAAATTCAGCCCCAATAACCTCAATGGTACTTGAAGACTTTAGATCAGTGTGTTCTCAGGATATTAATAGATATTCTTATAAAATGGTTCTAACATCAAATAATATTGAGAAACACTTATTGAAGCAGAGTTTACATGCTGAGAGAATGTTTAATGTACACCAAACCCCCCAAGATGGGGAGAGGGTATGCAACATGTTCCAAATTCATTTGATTACTACCTTGCCTGGATCAGGATAAGTGACCCACAGAACCCATCCTTATGTCATTCTTTCTCTTTAATATGACCTGTAAGTCATGTAATGCTGAGTCTCAGAGCAGTCTTTACCCAAAGAGAAAAAAACTAACCAAAAAACATAACTCAGGTCATGTCACTTAACCGGTAGCTTCCTATCTCACTCCAATGTTGTTTTCCTTTTTATGAGAAAGACCTAATTCCACCTATCTAATATTTTCCTTTTCCCTGTGGTTTTTTGATCTCCTTTGTTTTTATTAGTTACTTCTTCCCTGTGGTGTTGGTCTCCCTCTGTCTTGGGGAAAAAGTTCCTTCGTTAAGTTCACCTAGAAAATCTACACTTTCCAGGATCCAATCAGATTTTCCACATTCTAATTTGGGTCTCCCACATTTTCCGATTAAGATACACACACTCAAATATAAACAAAGCCAGGATCTTGAGGAGGCAGGGGAAGTTTCTTAATGAGGTCATCTGTTTTAAAAGGCAGATACTATGAATCAAAAATAAAGCTTGAGGACCAAAGATCCATTATAAATCAATGTGGGGTAGGCAGTAAAGAGAAAAATCTCAGACCCTGTCTATGCTTCAGATCCACAGCTTGAATAAAAAATCTACTTCCTGATTCTGGCTGTCCCAGCATAAGGAAAGGAATCAGATTGACCTTGTTGCCTGAGATTGTCAGACCCTAAACAAACATAAGGACGTTGCAGGGCCTTCCACAATTGCCTAGCCCAGCAGTTCTCGGACTTCAGCATCACAATCCCCCTGGGACCCAAATTGCTGGGTCCTACCCCAAGAGTTTCAGATTCAGTAGCTCAAGCATTTCTATCATATCTCTAGGTGATCCTGACAATGAGGACCATGCTTTGAAAACCAGTTCTAGACAGTGGGAGCAAATCCCCTGCTGACAAGGCATTTGTTCTTTTTCTCTTCCCTTTACTTTAAATAGGTGAAAGGCTTGATAGCAAATGCTAGAGAGTGGACATTTGGGTCAGAGAGACACTGGCTTCATTCCCAGATGTGCCATTCATCATCTGAGCTCCTGAAACCATTTATTTATCCTAGGTACCCCAATTGTTCCATGTGCACAATAAGGTAAGAGTAGCCCCCACCACATAAACTGTTGTGAAGACTGAGGAGGACAAAGCTCTCAACAGAGACTCTGGCTCACAGTAAAGCACTCGATAAATGGCGACCACACGAGTATTGTTTTGTTGATCTTCAAAAAACCCTGGTGATATCCCTCACCTAAACTCTAAGTACTAAGCAAAGAGAGTCTGGGTGTTTTAGCATTTATCAAAAATCCAATGGACATATGAAATCACCAGTCCTGCAGGCTGCAAACCAAGAATTATTACAGAAATCATCCCCAAATAACTGAGGTGGTGGTGGTGGTTGTTGTTGTTGTTGTTTTCATATTCTTTTTTGACAGAGGAATATTTTCTCCAATCGCTTTTGCCTTCAGATGGTTCCCACCAACAGAAAGAGTTGGAATTTGAGGTCTCCAGTCAAAAAATTCCAGAAGGGTTTCCTTACCCTTTACTAATTGTAAAACAAGTAATGAGTCCTATATTTCTTAGGCATCTTCAGGTCCCAGTATAAATATAGATCTTCAGATTCCTTCTCCCTGGTCTACTCCATTCCCTCAGCAGGCTTTGTTAGAACTCCCTGCTGTGTGCATACACGGAGCCTAGCATGCTTACCTCTTGATATTTTACACATTCGTAATCATTTCATGCATTATTTGTAATAAGTTGCTTAAAGTTTGTTTGCTCTCATCTAACACACTTTTCAAGAGAGAATTATGTCTACCAAGTTCCCCACTGTACCCCCTAGAATAGAACCTGGCAGGTAGAAAGCCCATAGTCAATATTTGATGAGGGTCAGACCAATAACCAAATTCCCAAGAAGTATTAACAGCAGAGTGAGAAAGGCAATTTATTTTGTGTGTGTGTGCCTATTCTAATCAGCATACTTCAGGAATATATTTGACAAAGAAAAATAAGATATAACTCTTCCAACATGTTTTTGATGATTGGGTATTAGAAATTCCCACTAAATTAAGGATTCTACTAATCCAGTTTATAGCCCAAATCAAGAGCTTCTAATACAGGAATTTCTCCTTAATAAGAAAGAATTGGGCTTTTGGGTTTTATATACATTAGAAAGTCAAATAGTGGTAAGGCATCCACATAGTACTTGGCAAATTCATTCAACTCAGTTTTGGTTGTTGTTTTGTTTTTTTTTTCTGTTGAAAACAGTGGCCTTTTTCTTTATTGCTTTGCTTGGTATATTCCTTCCAATATGGATATAAATGTAAATGCATTTCTTGGCCCTTGCTTTTCTTTTCTCATTTTAAATTACCTCTCCACTTCACCATAAATTGTATATTTGGAGTTCCATTTGTGGCCAAAATGCAATTGTTTAATTGTGCAATATGTGATTTGTAATATAATTATGCTGGCCAAATTATTTCCTGGGCTGCTCAATTACTGTGATTACGTTTGTTAAGTTTACAAGCCACATGCTGTTATTCTCCTTTCCCTCTGGCTGGTAAATAGTTTTATTTCGCTTCTAGTTCTTGGGTGCAGGGCTTCAAGTGGGTGTCATAAGGGGGAGCGAAATTTGATATCTTGTTTTCTACCATTTCAGCCCCACTTGTGTTAATGAAGATGGAAGCTGAAGCTGAAAACCACAAACGACTTTTACTGTTATGCATCCACTCAACACTTAGAAAGAGAGATTGATGATAGCACATTTCAAATTCATCTTCCAGAACATTCCATCTCGTATGAGGAAAATGGCTAACATTTACTGAGTGCTTTCTAGGCGCCAGGCACTAGACTAAACACTTTACATACATTTAAATGTTCATCTTTGGAACAAACCTGTGAGGTCAATGCCATAATTCTCACTGTGTCTTAGCCTGGGTTCCCCAAAAAGCAGAACCGATGATGAGGGCTGATGTGCAGGCAGTTTAAGTTGGGAAGTGAACAAGGAAAAAGAGAGGATTAGGGAGAATGAAACAGGGGAGTATGGGAAGCCAACCCAGTGTTGTATTATCTGGATGATTTACTCGGTGGGTAAAGGGGGTTCTAACCAGTGAGGGAGGCTCGGAGGAGCTGTGCAGAAAATGTCCTAGAGTTATCTCTCTGAGACTCTGTGGAGAGAAATATTTTCTTCCTGGATTCTGTCCTTCTGGGTCAAGAGTTGTCCTGTAGGGTATTGGCATCCTAACACTTCCAGGGCTGCATGGCCTGAGAGTAATGAGTCCTGCAGAAGCACCATGTGGCTGCAGCAGAGAAGCTCTGGAGCAAAATCTAAGCTCTGCCTGGGGCAGCCCAGGCATTTGCATCTCGAGTAAGATGGTAGGCAGTACGATGTTTTTCTTTCTTCCTTTTTAAACTTTTTTAAAGATTTATGTATTTATTTTTAGAGAGAGAGAGCATGAGCGGAGGGGATGGGCAGAGGCGAGAGAGAGAATCCCAAGCAGACTTCCCACTGAGCATGGAGCCTGACATGGGGCTTGATCCCATGACCCTGAGATCGTGACCTGGGCGGAAATCAAGAGTCGGAGGCTTAACTGACTGAACCACCCAGGGGCCCCTCTTTCTTTCTTTTTTTTTGCATATTTCAAAAATCTTTCATTAATATTTCTATAATTCACCAACACTTTTTTAGAGTTTTTTTTGAGGAGTAACTAATTCACAAAAAGAAAGGACTCGTATTTAATGTATACAATTTGAGGACTTTGGATACATGCATGCCCCCATGATATCATCACCACATTCAATATAATAAACATAGCCATCACTTCCAAAGTTTCCCTTGTGTCCCTTTGCTTTTCTGTTTTTGTTTTTGTATAAGAACACTTAAGATCTATCCTCTTTTTTATCGTTATGTTAATCACCATACATTACATCATTAGTTTTTGATGTAGTGTTCCATGATTCATTGTGCATAACACCCAGTGCTCCATGCAGAACGTGCCCTCCCCAATACCCATCACCAGGCTAACCCTCTTAACAAATTTTTGAGTGCACAACATCATAGACACCATGTTGCACAGCAGATCTCTGAACTTATTCATCTTGTTTAACTGTAACTTTATACCCATTGAATAACTCCCCACTCCACCCCATCTCTGTCTTATGGCAACCACCATTCTATTTTCTGCTTTTATCATTTTGACTCTTATAGATACCTCACATAACTAGAATCATGGAGTATTTGTCTTTCTGTAACTGACTTATTTCACTTAGCACATCTTCAATATCCATTCATGTTGTTGCAAATGAACCATTCTTGCATCTTAGGGATAAATCCCACTTGATCATGGTGTATGATCCTTTTAATATGCTGTTGAATTCAATTTGCATGTATTTTGTTGAGGAGTTTTGCATCTATGTTCATCAGGGAAATTGGTCTGTAATTTTCTTTTCCTGTACTGTTTTTGCCTGCCTTTGGTGTCATACTCTTTTTCAAATAAAAAAACTGAGGCCTTGGAGAAGTTGCTCAAGGATATAGATACAGCTAGTATCTGGCAGACCTCATGGTCTCATACTCAAGACTTCAGCCTGTTTAGATTCCTAGGGCTTCTGTATTAGATTCCTAGGGCTTCTGTAACAAATCATCACAAACCAGGTGGTTTAAAACAAAAGAAATTTATTCTCTCACAGTTCTTAAGGATTAAAGTCTGAAATCAAGGTTCCAGCATGGACATGCTTCCTCTGAAGACTCTAGGGAAGAATTCCCTAGTAGTTTATAGTAACTGTTGTACTCCTTGGCATCCCGTGGTTTGTGGAAGCTTCATTCCAATTTCTGCCTCCATCTTCACATGATCATCTTCCCCTTATGTCTGTGTGTCTGTGTCCAAATTCCTGTCTTCCTGTAAAGACACCAGTCTCATTAGATCTAGAAACTACCCTAATCCAGTATGACCTCACCTTAAGTTGATGACACCTGCTTAGACATTGATTAAATTATTTGGAACGATTTCCAAAGAATTCCTGTTTTTAGATTCCAGGTAGACATATCCTTTTAGGGGGATACTATTCAACCCAGTACACAAACCCAGCTCCTTTCCTTTGAAATGTTCTTTTTAAACTTTTTAAAATATTTTTAAAACATATTTTTCAATAATTGAACATGGGAAATGTCTGAATACCCATTTCCTAGAGGAGTCAGGTGTTTATTGTGCTCTTTTAAAGAAGGCTTTGTGTTTTATCTGCCTCCAAATTTCTCAGATATCTCTCCAAAAAGATGAGTCTACCAGCTGATCAGAAATCTTTGTAACAGACCATGTTTTAGTGTTCATCCAGTCCCAGCCAGAGTTCACCTTGAACCCACAGCTGTTGCAAGGGTGGTTGAAGCCATTACCTAGGACAGATGGGCAGGCATTGGAGAAATGCCCAGACCTTTACATTGGATTCATCAATTTGAGAAAATTATTTTTTGTCAGGTTCTGGTAAGTTTTTCTGCTTTAAGAAATTGACAGGAGTTCTTCTAGCATTGTTAGTCATGTCGGATTTGATCATGTTGAGCTTGACCAAGTTTCTATCCTGGTTAAATGAAATAGATCAGCATAAAGGTATTTTATGCAGCTATGATTATACCTTGTCCCTTGGCCCTTGCATACATTGTATTTAATATACTCCTATTGAGATAGTATGGACAATACCCCTGTTGAGACATTCCAATCATATCAGGAAACTAAAACTTCAAAAGGACAAGACATGTATACAAGGTCACAGCCAATAAGTGGTAAATCTGAGGATTTAAAACCAGGTTCTTACGGCTCCAGAACCTGGAATGTTCTCCAATATCAAGCTGCTTTTGACTTGATCCACAGTCATTAAATGTCTTCAATCATGTCATCTAGGGACCACTATTTCTTACTTTTAAAACATTTATATAAAAATATATAGAAAATTATGAACCAATATAATGCCATCCATCAACCATCTCTGAGTCTCCCTCTATGTTCCAAGCACCTTATACAAATGAGGTTGAAAATAGTTTCCCGGGTGTAATGAAATTTAAAGTCAGGGAGTTTACATATGTGGAATTTAAGAAACAAAACAGAGAATAGGGGAAGGGAGGGAAAAATAAAACAATACGAAATCAGAGAGGGAAACAAACCATAAGAGACTCTTAGCCATAGGAAACAAATGGAGGGTTGCTGGAGGGGAGGTGGATGGAGAGGATGGGGTAACTTGGTGATCACATTAAGGAGGACACTTGAAGTAATGAGCATTGAGTGTTGTATGCAACTGATGAATCACTAAATTCTACCTCTGAAACTAATAATACAGTATATGTTAACTAAATTGAATTTAAATAAAAAATTTTTTAAAAAGTCAGTGAGCTTAAATTACTCCCCAAGGAGATCACAAAAGTGACAAATACTAGATAAGAATTCATCTCAACTCTTGGGGCACCTGGGTGGCTCAGTCGGTCAAGCATCAGCATTCGGCTCAGGTCATGATCTCAGGGTCCTGGGATCGAGCCCCACATCAGGCTCCCTGCTCAGAGGGAGAGCCTACTTCTCCCTCTCTATCTGCTGCTCCCCCTGCTTATGCACGTGCTCTCTCTCTCTCTCTCTCTTTCTCTTGATCTCTGTCAAATAAATTTTAAAAATCTTAAAAAAAAAAAAAGAATTCAACTCAGCTCCTACTCTAAAACCTGTTCTCTCAACTACTTCATACATTGCTTCTCAATAACAAAGCTTTAAACAAACAATATAGAAGCTCTAAGTTAGGGTTTATTTTGAGTAGGGGAATTGGAGAAGACTTTATGCAGAGCTGACATTGGAGATAAGTCTCAAAGCACAGGGAGGGTCCTGTTAGCCACTGAACGGCGAGATGAGTCTGAATACTCACTCACTTATCCATTCATTCAATATGTATTTTATGGACCATATGGTCTGGATCAGGCACCACGATGGTGACTAAATGAACATGGTAGTCATACTCTCCACCCTTGTGATGCTTAAAGCCCATTGGGGGAGTAGACAATAGTTGAGAACAAACACACCAATAACTGAACTCATGGAAAATTCTGGAAGCACTATGTAGGACACAAAATCTATTGTGGAAAGAGAACAAGAGGGGATCTCACTTAAGGAGGGTCAGGGAAGGCTTCTCTGGGGAAGTGACATCAAAACTGACCCCTATATTTGGGGAGGAATCAACCCTCCAGAGAAGCAGAAAGACGGTTCCAATCAGAGGAGTCCGCAGAGCTCTGAGATGAAGAAAGAAACTCAGTGTGAAGGAGCCTGGCATGTGATGGGGAAAGAAGCATGACAGGAGCTGGGAGACAGTTGGGAGCTTGACCACATAGGGCCTCTTAGGCCATGCTAGGGAATTTCAATTTCATTCAAAGGACAGTGGGAAGCCATCAAAATGTTTCACCAGAGGAGTGAAATTTTCCAGTTTATGTTGCTATGTCTATCTGGCCACTCTGTGGAGAACAGATCTGGGAAGACCAATTAAGAAGCTACAGCTGTAACCCAAGCAAGAGCTACTGGTGGGTGGTCACGGTGGTGGCTGTGGAAATGGCAAGGAGGGGAGAGAGAGAACATGAAGATAGAGTCTAGAGTTTGTGCTGACAGATTGGATATGGCAGGAGGAGACAAAGAGAAGGGAACGCAATCAAGGATGACTTCAGCTTTCTGGCTTATAAAACTGAGTGTGAGTGTGTGTGTGGGGGGGTGCTATTTACTAAGATGGGGAAGACTGCCATGGGGATGGGGCTGATAAATGTGTGTGGCAAATGCATGCTGAGGGGTGAGGAGAATGAAGAGATCTGTTACTTCTGATGAACAATTTATCTGGTTATAAAATGACATTCTACCCCTAAGCTGTAAGCCAATGAATTTTAGTAAAGGAAGACAGGTCGTAACAGTATTTATCAAATGAGAAAAATAGCTGAGAGATTCATATCTTGCACCTACTACCCATTCCACTTCCAAGTCAACCTCACCAAGCTCAGGCGTCCATTCAGCATGCTTTCCTTGAGTGTCCACTGAGGACGAGGCTGGAATCAATTCTGCAGATAAAAAGCAAAGCAAATAATAATGCAATGAATTCAAATCCTGTGTGGTAGATGAACATGTTTGACAGTCAAGAGAGAAAACCAGAAGAAGCAGGAGTACCTTCCAAAGGGAGACGAGAATAATGAAAGAAAGCTTTCTACAGGCAGTGACCTATGTACTGGCCTTGAAAATGAGTCAGAGGGCACCTGGGTGGCTCAGTTGGTTAAGCGACTGCCTTTGGCTCAGGTCATGATCCTGGAGTCCCTGGATCGAGTCCCGCATCGGGCTCCCTGCTCAGCAGGGAGTCTGCTTCTCCCTCTGGCCCTCCCCCCTCTCATGTGCTCTCTCTCTCATTCTCTCTGTCAAATAAAATAAATAAAATCTTTAAAAAAAAAAAAGGAAAATGAGTCAGAATTGACCACAGAGAGAGGACATGGATCAGCATTCCAGGCAAAGGGAAGATAAGGACAAAAGATGGAGACACAGCAGTGCCTGGCAAATTTAGGGAACAGTACATGTGGTTCTAAGAGCTAAGGGAGGGAGGATTCGGGGTGAAAAGGTATTGTGTTTAGGGTGAGGTTTTAAGAAACTATTGAGTGCCATACTATTCATACTACCTGTAACTAACACAGGGCACCAGGGCACATGCGCATACACACACGTATATCCTATCATTCTCTCTCTCTCTTTCTGTCTCTGTCTGTCTCCCTTTCACACACACATACACACACACACGCACACACAGAGTCCTGTAATGCTGTTTCCCTTTTTAATGTTGCATATTCCTCCATATCTGTACCTGGAGACAAGAAAAGTAAGGGAAAGAAAGGTTTTGTGGGTAAATTGTTCCTGAATGCAGCTAAAGATAGTTCTGAACAGGTGGATCTCAGTGACAGCAGCATTTGCAATTCAGAGCACAATTTCTTTCCCATTTTCATCAAAACCACACAGCCAACATTCTTTACCCCTTCAAATCATCCTAACATCGTTGCCAGATTCATCTTCTGGGGAAAATCAAGTGTATATCACATCATTCCGCTGTTACGAATCTTTCCTAGTTTTCTAAGCCCATCAAGGAGCTCCTGCTGTTCTCAATAACTACAGAGCCCAACAGAGGGTAAATTGCTATAAGGGGGGAAATCCCTCTTAAAATTTTAAGAGACAATAGAAATATACAAGGAAGGGAATGGTGTAAAAATGTTCACCTGGGTATGACTCACGCGGCATTCATAGATAAGAACGTGTTTGATAGTTTCTGTCCTAGTGAGTTGGGATGTCGTCTTGGAAGAGAATTGTCTATCAATACTATCATTTAATATGTTTGTTGTTTGGGAAGATGGTATGTGGGAGGCAGCCTGAAACAGGTGGTTGTACTATATTTACACCTTTCTGCTGTTGTTCCTTCATAATCAAAAGCGACACTACCAGTGTTACCTGCTATCTTCTGGTGCAGGTGTGAGTGAAAAGACAGATTTGAAGCCAACAGTCCCCATGCATGCCACTTGTCCATAAAAATGAAACTGTGAGCTGTGACTCTTTCAGCAACACTGTCCAGTAGAACTTTCTGCAACAACAGAAATGTGCCGTATCTGCACTGTCCCCTTGGATAACCATGAGCCACATGTAGCAACTGGCACTTGAATTGTGACTAGTGCAACTGAGGAACTGAATTGTTTATTTCATTTAATGTTAACAAAGTTAAATTTGAATAACACACTTCCGGACCTACCCATGTCCCCTTTTGTAATCCTGGGTCTCCTCTTTGCGTGGGTGCTTTGGTGGGTGGTTGTATTTGTTACCCAAGACTGCTCTCACAAATCACTATAAACTGGGCAGCATAAAACAACAAAAATTTATTCTCCTACTGTTATAGAGGCCAGAAGTCCAAAATCAAGTTGTCAGGATTGGTTCCTTCTGGGGACTCAGAAAGAAAATCTGTTCCAGGCCTGTTTCCTAGCTTCTGGTGGCTGGCAGGAGTCCTTAATGTTCCTTGGCTTGTAGCTGCATCCCTCCAATCTCTGCTTCTGCTTTACATCACCACCTTCTCTGTTTCAAATCCCCCTCTCCTTTCTCTCCTAAGGGCTGGTGTTGGATTTAGGGTCCATCCTAAATCCACAACGATTTCAGCTCAAGATCTTTAATTATGTGTGCAGACTCTATTTTCAAATAAGGTCACATTCACAGAAACCAGGGTTAGAATTTAGACATGACTTTTCGGGGGGTCACAATCCAAACCACAACAGCAGTATTCCAGCACTTTCTTCTGTAGGCAGGTCCGTGCGCAGCATTCTTTCACTGGGACACAAATCACCTTCCCAAACAGCAATTTGCATGCTTACTTTCATGACACCCAAAGCCACCTACATGCCTCTTTCCCCCAACCCAGCCCCTCTTCCTGTCACAGCTTTTGTACCCTGAGCCATTTGACTCCTTTACATTCAGTAAGTTACTAACATTTTTAGGTGCTTTCCAATATTACGGGTGATTCCTTCCTTGGAGCCAGACCAACCTTTGTTCTTTAAAAAGCAACAGAACAGAAGTCTCAGGACACTATGAGAGGCTTCAAAGGATTTCTCTACTGCCCTTTTTGGATTTTTTACTTAAAAAAAATTAATACACAGCTTTGTTTCAGCCATCTGCAGATGAGATTTCCTCTTTTCTCAGGTGTCTGAGGACATATGGATACTTCCTGCCACTTTTTGAGGGGAAGAACAGCTACAGAAACTGAGAAACTATCTGGCTCCAGGGAAGACGGTGCCCTGACCTCATTCCCATGTCCCTTGGGGTAGAAGTGATTGGTGGGGGAAGATCCAGGATAACCCCATCATTTCATTTGAGGTGGGTTTAACAGGCCAATTGGCTCTGATCTCCATAACAACTCTATATTTAGCAAGCTGGCACAATTTTTAGACAGAGATTTCTCACAAGAACTTGGCAAACATTCCATGTTTCCTTTGCTGCAATATGTAGAATTGATATTTCTGACAAAATTGCTCACATATCTTAGTGTAACCTGTTTAGTAGTTGTACGTTGTTAATTTTATTTTACTTTTTCCCTAAGGAAAAGAAAAAACTGATTTATGATATGGTACTGGAGGCTGGGGAGGGAAATTTGACCACAGGACTCCTGGAAAACCAACACCTGTCAGGTCTTCCTCCATGAGGCTTCTCATGCCCACACCTTCCCCTCCAGCCTCCTACCCAGGTTTGAATCACAACCACATTACCTACCAGTAATACAGGCACTGAGATACCCTGACTAACCTCCTGCCCAGAGGTTCCACCTTTTGATTCATTCTGCACCACGCTACCAACTTCATCTTCTCAAACACAAAGACATTTAAATATTAGCCTCAAGGTGAGAGGGAGGTCCTCAGTGAAAACTGATATTTTTTCTGTACTTTGCGTTATACCTGCAATACTTGAGTATTTTAAAATTAAATTGATAAATATTACAATGAGTCTCAAATATAAATTTTAGAAACTAAAGCCACTCCCTCACACATAATTAAAAGATCAAATTGATTTTTTCAAACCTATTTATTGAAAATAATTAAAAAAAAAACATAGTTCCCCCAAATTCCAAACTTTTTACTGCACATCATTTTCCTAGTCTGTGAAATATTGAATTGTGGATTTTTTCTAATGTCTCATATCAGATTAAGATGACTAACATGAAACTAAATTTAATACTTTAAACATGTAAATATAATTTAATTACTAAGAAAGGAGAGCTAAGAAAAAAAATATATACCAACATAAAGGGGTCCCCTGGTAAAAAATAATAAACTATGTTGTAGTTTAAAACAAAAGATCCTGTAGTCTCATTTCCTGCTTCCATTATAACTTCATCTCTCATTTCTGCCCTATACAAATATTATTCTGTGTTATTATCAAAACCAGCTACCATTTGTTGAGTGTCAATGGCTTTATATATATTATTTACTCTTCAAAACCATTCTATGAGGTGAGTGGTATTTTTCCCATTTTACAGATAAGAAAACTGAGGCTCAGAAATGTAGAGAGGTTTTTTTCCCCAAAATCACACAATTGCCAAGTAGCAGGGTAGGGTTGGGAATCCATATTTTTTTTACCTCAAAATCCACATTCTTAACCAAAGCACAATGCCTGGCACAATCATAATGTTCAAAATCCAGTAGATATTATAAGGTGCAATCAAGTATAATCACTGTCTTCTCCTGCTTCCCCGCTTTGGAAGGTCCTCTCTTGAGAATTTTATGAACGTTGAATAAACTGTACTCCCTTGAAAGCCAATGGCCAGGGTTCCATTTGCTGTTACTCCAAAACAAATTACAGGCATCCCTCACTTTCCCAAAATTTACATTATGCCACTTTGCTTTTACAGAAGACCTACATTAGTTTGGCAAAGTCTTTTTTTTTGTAAAAGTGAAAATCCCCTTCAGATTTCTTTCAGTTAGCAAAAACCAAGTACTAATGTAGGTCTTTCATGAAAGTGAAATGGCATAATGCAAACTTGGCTTTGCGCCATTTTGGTTTACCAAAGTTTTCAGAGGAATGCTCTCCTTTGAGGTAGCAGGGAAAATCTGTACTCCAAACCTACCAGCTTGAAACCACCATATTAATATGCTCAGAAATTCTGTGTCAGAGATTCAGACAGAACACAAAAGGCATGGCTTATCTCTGCTCCATGGCTTGTCTCTGCTCCAGGATATTTAGGCCTCAGCTGGAAAGACTCAAAAGCTGTGGGAATGACTCTATGGCTGGGGGATAGAATCACCTGAAAGTGCAACTAGATTTTCAGAATGGCTTACTAACAAGGCTGCCCATGCTCTGTCAGTTGGGGACTTAGCTGGGACTATTGGCTGGAGCCCCTACTCATGGCCTCTTCAGCATGGCTGTCTCTGAGTAGTGGAACTTCTTACATGAAGACTGGCCTCCCCTAGAATGAACATCTCAAGAGAATCAGGCAGAACCTGCATGGTCTTCTCTAACCTAGCCTCTGATGTCACAGAGTGTCGCCTTCCACTGCATT